AACAATTTTTAGATTTAATAATATTTCCAGTGTTTCATAAATGGATAGATATATCTGCTGGGCGCTCAGCCAGATATGTTTGTATGTATTGTACACAGACACGTATATGTGTGCATACATAGTTGGAAGGTATGATTTAGATACATCAAGATATTAAATCATTAATAAATGGGCAAACGAACTTAAAAAATACTATCTACACTCACATGAAGCTTTATTGCCGTTACCGACAGCTACAGCTGGACTCTATTAGAAACAAAACAATTGGCATTTAAAGTGAGATATATGAAACTCAATAAAACCATATCTGTTAAGAATCTCTGATAAACACAATTCTGCCAAATGATCAGATTGAATTTATTTTGAAATGAAAATCTTACCAAGGGGAAAGTCACGATGCTCAAAACAGTGAATAAAATCATTTTAATTCTGCTATTTAAATAGAAAAAATCATAAATGTTCGAAACTAATTGATGATAAATTTCAATGGCTTGCCTTGTTAATAATATAAATTGAGAAATTACTCCAATTTAATATTTAACGTTTCAAATATTGTACTTACATCAAAAGTAAAAGGTCTGTAACAAAATAACAAAAATTCTCAATTTATACCTGTTTTTGTTCAACAACTATAAATGTTTTGAATACGAATATTTCATAAAAGTTGCCTAATTCAAAATTCCAGATCATGAATTTATTAAGAGAATTAACTGTTCAAGGTGAAATTATTGTTTTTTGCCTACTCATCATTTCGCTACAATATTTTTCTCAAATGATGAGCCAAACGTTTGATGCGGCCCATGATGAGCCAAATGTTTCAATGGTGGGAGAAATATATAAAGAAAACACATGAAAATAGTGGGATTTTTTTTGTATGATAGAGACTTTTTGAAATTTTATTTTCATTTTTTCTCAGCTCAATGGGTTTTTGGCGTAATTATCAGCCCTTAAGTTTAATATTTTGTTCATATTTTTGGTGTGCGACATTTTCTGATCTATTATTACATATTAAAATTGCGATTGTGAACGTATTCAGATGTTCTAGATAACGAAATATTGTGTAAGATTCTGTGTTTCATGAATCGCCATTCTTGTAATAAAATATGTAAGTTTGTGTTTAACTTATTTCAAATCTCTTAAACATGCATGTCGAACACACAATAGAAGAAACATTTCTTGGTTACGGTTAAAAGATGTCTAATAGTGAAAAAACTTTAAAATGATTTTAACTTAATGCGTTACGATTTTTATTTGTTTAAAATAATATAGAGACCAATTCCTTTCAATGAGTTCTTACATTGGCAAGTGCATGCGTCTCAAATCGACCAGATTTATTTCCATATTGCACAATGGGCAATTGTTTCGTATTTTAATGGTCATTTCGATGCATTTTGTGCAGAATAAATGTCCACATTTTGTCGATGAAACATGTTGATAGATGATGTTTTCCAAGCAAATGACACATGTTAAACCGGAATCGTAGCGACGCTTCCTTTTATTCATGACATTGTTTTTCACATCTTGCAGTTTAACTTCACATTCAATAACCACCGAATCGTTGTTGACAAAATTACGTTCCGGTTTTATAAGATTTCGCCACAATAAAACAAATGATTCATTCAACTGGGATCGGTTAAATTTGCAATCGCTGACTTTCTTCTTAGTTTTGATTTCTGTGCCATCAACGGTTTTCGATAGAAAACTCAATGAAATCGACACTTTCCATACCACATCTAAGTTCGAATTTTTACAACGAAACGAAATGCCAAACAAATTTTCCATTTGTTCGGTCACAAGTCCAATTCGAAAGACGGCTATTTCAAATGGTGTTTCAAGCAAAAAGAACTGCGGCGACGAAGCAGCCAATAAACCATGAACACCATGCACAGTCCATCGAAATTTTCCATACGTTGAGTCCGAACAACATCGATCCAATAATTCAAATACATTATTTCCATCACCGATTGCTGGACGATTGGCCTTTATGTGGAATTCAAATTCGATTTTATCATCGCAAACGAATTTTTTGTCAGAATCAAAGAGATCTGTCCAACTTATAAAGTCACCTATTCCCCAGCCAGTGCAAATGTCATACACATCCGGGTTGATGTATTTTGATAGTGATTTAGACTTGTCGTCGTCATGCGATATTAATTTAATCATTGCCCATGCAGCGCAGCTCCAGTTTGATCGGTTTTCATGTGCAGCATGCAAATATACACTGATCACACTTTTTTGTGATTGGGTAAGTTTTTGAATGTGAAAACGCCAATTCATATCATCGAACATAATGTTTGGCGACCAAAATTCCGTCAATTCACTGATATTCGGAACTGTACATCGGATTTTTGCAGATGACATATTTTGATCTTGATCTTTAACAATTAATTCGGACATTATTGTCGAGAAGTCGACGATTTGAAAACGTTGATTAATTGAGATAGGACTTTTAAAAAATATTTATTTGTTTTTTTGATTATGCAATGTTATGTAATTATATAAGAATTATGTATTTTATTTGGAGCACTTGAAACACAAATATATAATTTATTTTCAATCCTCAATTTTTCAGATTTTTTGAAGAAAATTTCTTTTGAAGCACACAAAAAACGTATTATTATTAAAAACTTATTATAGTTGAAATGAATAAATGTGGAATGAGAACGATGTAATTTCGGTGAAAGTCAAACTGCGAATGATGGCATTTAAAATAGAGCAAATGGATTTTTATTCTCTTGGTTCCCAGATTTTGAGTGGACAAATGTATATTGTATAATGTGTAAATATGTATGAGTGGCTCGATACAGCTTGAATAGACATTTTTCGCTGGTTTACATTATTATTAAAGAAATATACGTTCAAACAAACAAAATGAATGCCATGGATATATGGACTTTACATTTGACAACATTCTGTCATTTGTTGCCCATATAAGAGCCACGTGTACTTAGTCCTTCGTTATTTTCCAAAGAAAGCAATAACTAAATCAATTGTCAATGTATTCAAAGTGAGACGTGAACACTTTCCTTTCTCATGTGTGGCGTTTTTAAGAGAAATGAGATATTTTGTTACATATGAGTGGACCCTTCTCAACAAATTTTACGACTTAGACTGAATTTTTTTCACACCAATTCAATGTTGAAACCACTTGTAACCGAATCAATGGTGTTCTTTGTTTTAGTTTTACTGCCAAATGTACGGTCAATCGTTTATATTGCTCGGAATGAAAATATGGCCGTTTGAAACTAATTCTGCTTGTTGCTTTTAATACTGTATTCGGTGACGAAAATGTGTAGACCATGAAGATCGAATTTTATGTGTGTGTGTTTTTTGGTTTGCATTGTGATTTATGTCATATTGTTTATTACATATGCGTGATTCTAAATTTGGTGTCTATGTCAAAAAATCCGTTCGTACGACGTTGATCTTTTTATCGATATTTATGCCTATAGGTAATAACAACAGTTTGACGATTTTCAAACGGATGTGCTGATTGTGATGAAAACGTATTATTGTGGTCGTTGCTTCATACCCATCTTTTGTTTATGATTTTTCTCTTGCATGAAATTCGTCGATTTTTCTTCGAAGATTATCGTTTTTTTGGTTTTGGAATTGGCAATTAGGAGATCGTGTATGATATATGAAAATTACTTACGATTGCGATTGATCATCCCACGATTCGTGATCGTGCGTAATTGTCTGCGTGGAAAGGAAGCAGAAGATTCACAAAAATACGATTTTTGTCATACAATATTTGTTAATGGCGTTTAATATCGCGGCATGAATGAAAAAGGAAAACGAATTGTACTAAATCGCTATCAAGGAAAAGCCTACTGTTAAAAATTACCCATTTTCATGCTTACATTGTAATGTACTTGCCCTTTGCCCTACATGTATGTGTGTGTGTGTGTGTGTTAAATCATTTACGTGGATGCACATAATGATGTAAAAATACAAATAAAATCAAGTCTATATGTATAAATATATCGCAACAAATCATCTTTCTATTTTCCCTTTTTCTCGTTCACGTTCTATGCACAAATCTGCCACTATGATGAATTTCATATATTATGATTTTTGGGTCCATTACACTTCTATATTCTCACCACATGAATTAACTTGTATGTACTTTATTTCACCCATACTATGTGTGCTGAAAAGTATCATTTTCATTCAAACCTTTATTTCAAAAATTTAATTTTTTATCATTTTCCATTGAGGAGAATTTATGTATGTGTATGATAGATGGGCAGTTGAAATAAGTTCTGGCACAGCAGTTGTAGGACGTAATGTAAGCAGAATCTTATATGAGAAATTAAATCATGGCTTCAGGGAAATTCAAAGTTTCATTCATAAATTTGTTCTTTTACCAATATTAGAGCAAGGCGTCGAGAGAACATAGCTCTTTATGCGCGTTAAAATTGGATGCCATTGCATTATTATTGCTCTATGTAGGACTTTAAGTTGCGTTAACCTCTCGCTCCAATTATCTTGTTGAACGAATTGAATCCTTTGAAAAAGATGTCTTTTGACTGTACTCTTAACAATATACTGTTAGCAAACCTCTCACTCTATTTTCGAAAATAGTTCGTTGAATACTTTCATTGTAGCATATGGTTGATTTATATCAGATAACATTATGACAATAACTTTGGTTGGGAAGTAAGATGGTAAAATAAAAATCAAAATGATTTGGATTTGGACAATTTACAAGTCGTCATTAAAACGTAAATAATTTTCAAACTTAATGGCAAATGTACAGACATTTTTCTTGTCAAGATTACCAACTTTTTTG